GTTTTAACAGTAAATAAAGGTGTTTTTTCTAACCCTACATTCCAAATGTCTGAACTTTTTTCTTTTTTTAGATTGGAATAATGGATGAATCAAGTTCCTACAGTAATCGATCAATCAGCCTTAAAGCTGGTTTTATGCTAACATCTAACAGCTGATTAATTTATATATAATATAAAATAAAATAACGGCGGTTTAACAGGTGATAGAAAATCCATCTTTTTTTTTTTTTTTTTTTTTTTGAATCGGTTCTGATAAACCTTTCAGATTTATTTGTTTTGTTCTGTCCAGGTCTACGCGGCGCTCGGCTGCAATTTATAGAGTAGAGAAGGAAAAGCCTGACCTTGAACCACCACCTGGTTACTGGGAACCAGGATCTGCTGGCCGTCGCTGGTCTGAGCGTACTGCAGGATGGTCGTCCCGGGCTGCGTGGCGGCGGCGTTGGCCATGGTGAGCGCCTGCAGGCCCTGCACGCCGTCTGTGCCGTTACTGGCCAGCTGGATGGCCCCGCCCTGAGTGATGGCGACTGAGGAGAGGATCGGGAGGTCAGGGCCACGCTTTCTGCTGCTAACGGCACGGAGGGAGCGGAGGACTTACTGTACTGGCCGCTGCTGGTCTGATAGATGGGAGTGGGCATGGTTACAGTGGTGATGGCTGGACCCGAGTCGTCCTCTGACTTCTCCTCCTCGATCCGGGGCACAGCGGGAGCGTCTGAGGAGAGGTCGTTCAGGATCTTCCTGTTGGGGCGGAAAGGAGAGCAGAGAGAGGTTTTAGCCACAGTTGTGCAAACAGAACCAGAAGCTCTAGTTCCGTCCATCTGACCTGTAGGATGGCCGCCTGGAGAGGATTTCTCTCCTCTTCTGCGAATCTGTGACGCTGTCTACAGACTCCTGCGAATCCTCGCTCTCCACGGTGGAAATCTACAAACAGCACAGAGCTTAGAAGCACAGAAGAAGAAGCAGCCCTCTGTGCCGGGAGGTTCTGGTTCCTCCTTACCTGGACAGCCTGGACCTGCGGTGACTGAATGACAGACGGCTGAGCGGCCTGGATCACGCCGTGGACCTGCACCGTCTGACCGTTAGGTAGCTGTACGATGGTGACCCCCTGACCCTGGCCCGCTGTGATGGGCGCCTGGAAAACACAGCCTCGGGGTTAGCGGGTGAACGGGACAGCGATCCGTCAGCGGAGCAGCGACGGGCGGAGTTACCTGGGTGAGGGTGATCTGCTGCGCTTCGGACTCGGAGACCGCCGCCTCGCCGCTCTGCTGCACCTCTGTACCGGCTTCCATCTTCATTTAAAGGCTCTGAATTAAAAAAAACCTTCAGAATCAGAGAAAGAAAATCTGAGTCGGATTGTATGGAGTGAAATATGGTCCTTTATTGTTGCAAAGAACAGCTCCCGGAAATGGAAAAAAGCAACAACTTTTCATCAAAAAAAAAAAAAAAGTTTAGAGAATAACTTTTTTTCAAAATTTTTTAATTATTTTTTGTTGTTTTAACATCCTTTTTTCTTACATATTATATAGTTCTAATATTTTCCCTCCAAATTTATGTTTTTTAACTTCCAAACGACGGAGTATTAAATCTCATCGTTGCTCCGTCCTAACTACAGCTGCCTTGTAAATCGATTTTTTATCAATTAATCAATAAAATTGAATAGAACTGAATTAGGGCTAAAACAGTTTATCAGAAGAATTGTAATCATAGAAATAATCGTCAACTAATTCGGTAATCGATTAATTAACTAGAATGAATGTAGCGGACAGAGCGACCTACTTAGAGCAGTAATTATATAAAATTCCAAAGAATATATAAATATTTTGCATTTAAAGGTATAATGGAGTATTTTCGCAGATTTTTAAAAAGACCTGCCCTCTCCACTTTATAAAATGCATTTAAACAACCCTGTACCCGCCCCTAAACACCTGAGAGTGTGCAGGAGCCCATTTCTCCTCGTGCACGCTCTGTTTAAAAGTTGCTATTCTCATCGCTCATACAAGCTCACTTTCCAAAAGATCTGCTACTTTTCCACTATGTCAGACTGACCACAGATAAGTGAAAATGGGGACGAGCTCGTCGGACGGCCTTACGTTAACATATCACCAGAATGATTGACATTTAGGAAGACCACTTATTTAGATGATCCACCCGGAAAGACATCGTTCTGCACTATATTTTTAAGATTTAAAAAACAGAACTAACCAGTGGAAAAGTTTTAATTTCTCGTCTTTAAGGAACCCTTAGCTATCCAAACCCTTTATAGGGCAAGGTACAGTTTTTGATCACTTGCATACCCCTTTACAGAGCCCACCCCCCGCCCCTCAGTGAGATCTAGAAGCACAAGATCTACACGCAGCCATTCAGCAACGATCCTGCTACATGGCTGTACATCTTACTTTGGCGTTTGATCAATTAGATGAGCCCCTGAATGATATATTACCTACTGGAAATTAAGTTGAAAAAGAAAAGCTAACAAGTCAAGAAAAAAGGTAAAAAACTAATTGAAAAGTTAAAAAGTTAATAAGCCTAGTTAAGAATTATATTTAGGTTTAAAAAGAAAAAAAAAGTAAGTGCCAGTATCAGCATTAATGCATCTAAGTTTATGTTTCACCCAAAAAAACAAACTGTTTCTTTCACTCTAAGTGCTTTTCATTAATTTCTTCTAGAAACACTTTTGTTATTTTTCCTAATATATTCGGGCGAGTTGGCATTTCCTGTTATTACATTAATTTTTGCCATTAAAATATTCATATTTTTTAATGTTCCAAAGGTAACAACGTTTTGTCCTGGATTCAAATAACACTATTGGCTTAAAATTTCGATTTTCAAAGTATTTCACTGAGTGCCCTATAAAGGGTTCATAGAAAAAACAATCAACAGATTAATCCATTGATACAATAATCATTAGTAGCCCTAAATTGAAAATTTTTTTATACACTCATAACCAGTAAACCAGCTCATTTTGTGATACAGCGAGCTGCTAACATTAAGTGTTTATAATTTCCATTATTTATTGTAAAACAGGAATATTTTTCATTCACATTTCCAGGCCCTTTAAATAAAAAAAATAAGGTCAGCTCTCAGAGCGCATTATTGAAAGTTTCCCCTTCAACTCAAGAAAACAAAAACAAAAGATCAATGGGACGTGTTGCGTCATGCAGCCACTTTCCTATCATCACAGCAGTGAAGTTCTGCTTCCGCTCTATGCAGCACAGCTAGATGGACGCCAGGTAGTTGAGAACTAAAGGAGTTTACCCAGTATTTAGATCTACAAACAGAACTCCAAAAGGTTCATTCTGCATCTTTGGATCCAATAAAAACAGGGGAAATAAACTGAACTGAACTCTGGATCCATTCTGACATTTTTTCTCTTCCAAACAACAGCGAGGCTCTCCTGAAGAATAAACAACCTTGAGGTGAAACTCCTAAAGGGGCGTTATCAATCAATTAGCTGGAAAAAATGTAATCCAAGCATTCATTAAATACAATTAATCGTAAGTCAATTATTTGCATACATTTGTAAAAAGGTGTTCAGATGGGACAGTAATTAGCAGCAAAGTCTTGACAGTTTTTTCTACAATTTGACTCATAAAGAAGATAAACATTGCAAAAAAAGTTACTTCCTGACCCTAAGATAAATTAATGATGGCTGGAAAACTTTTATTTATTTATTTATTTTTTTGCTGCACTTGGATACTTTATTCTATTTTAAATTAGCATCATAATATGACACACTTCCAGAAAAACACTAATTAAAAAAATTCCAGCAGGCTCAGTTATGAGGAAAACATTCACAAGCCGCAGACATCAATAAAGGTGCAACTTCCACATTTATATACAATAAATGCAAGTGTTGTAAAGTAGTTATAACCCATTATTTCTTTTGAACTGAAATGTTAATCATGCTCTACAAATACTATATTTCTAAAGTCATTCTATAATGTAAATGTCTATTTCAGCGAACCTGCGCAGACATTACAGGTGGAAACTAGCAACAGCTAAATATGGGACATCTTTTCCTTGCAAGAAAAATGAAAACATTAAATTATAAACAAGTTGAAAGCCTTAATAGTTTACTACCTATTCGAGCAGCTCTAAAAACAAGATGGGAAAAAATAATGTAAAAAAATTAAATTACATTACTAAGAAATCAGTAACAGTTAACTTTTCTGTAAAGTCTCTGATTTTAATGAACAAACATGTCATTTCTAATGTTATATGTAGATTATGGAGCTCAAGTGTTTTTCTATTAACGTTTAAGGTTAAATAAACGAATGAGGGGAAGATGGAGTGGGAGATCGATAGGCGGATTGGTGCGGCGGCTGCTGTGAAGCGCGCGCCGTACCGGTCTGTTGTGGTGAAGAGAGAGCTGAGCCAAAAAGCAAAGCTTTCAATTTTACCGGTCGGTTTATGGTCATGAGTGAAAGAACGAGATCCCGGATACAAGCGGCTGAAATGAGTTTTCTCCGTAGTATGTCTGGGCTCTCCCTTAGAGATAGGGTGAGGAGCTCAGTCGTCTGGGGGGGACTCAGAGTAGAGCCGCTGCTCCTCCACATAGAGAGGAGCCAGTTGAGGTGGCTAAGGCATCTGATTAGGACGTCTTCCTGGTGAGGTGTTCCAGGCACGTCCCACCGGGAGGAGGCCCAGGACACGCTGGAGGGACTATGTTTCTTGGCTGGCCTGGGAGCGTCTTGGGATTCCCCCGGAGGAACTGGCCCAAGTGGCTGGGGAGAGGGACGTCTGGGCCTCCCTACTGAAGCTGCTACCCCCGCGACCCGACCCCGAATAAGCAGAAGGCGATGAATGGATGGTTAAATAAACACTATCTGCCTTAAGTCAGATATTTTACTTTTAATTAGAAGTTTAAAACAATAATATAAGGAAGATAACAACCTAGGAGGCATAATATAACAAAAAATAAAAGAAAAATTAGCAAAATCATACATTTAGTTTATTTTAAAAAAAATCTAATTTATAAAACCTTATAAATTAGTTGTCAAAACAGGAAAAAATATGGTTTATCTCCTCTCCATTAAATGCAGTGACAAGTTATTTATCAATTTAGTTGCTAATTGTTCTAAAAAAAAAAAAAAAAACAAGGATCCGATTGTTGTCATTAAAATAAAGCTGGAATCCTCTTAAATTTTTTTTTTTTTCTAAATCTTCTCTGCAGCTAAATGCTCCCAGGAGGAGGGTGGGGTTTGGCTTCACCTCCAGCAGGAAACCCCGTTTGCAACATTTACAGAAATATTTACAGGAGTTACGAAATAATACACGAGGCTAAAACTGGAACATGTTGAAACATATCGCATTGTTTTATAATCACCAGCCAAAATAAACCGCGGCTAAGCGAGCAGCTAACAGCTACTGGAAGCTAACACCGTTAGCATGATATGTGGCTAACAGCAATGCATTGAATGACGCTAAGAGTTTAGCATCATTACATTTATGAGACATGAATATATTTAATTTACTTTTTAAACACGTGTTAACAACTGAAGCTAAAGCGTTAGCATTTGAACGTAGCTTTCCTGCAGCTAGGCTAACTGATTAAGCTAGCTGCTAGCTGGAAGCTTTGGAGGGAAATGTCTGCACGCCTTCCAACCGAGGCTTTTTCCCCCCTAAAGAACTAAAATAGATGCATACATTTATTTTATCCGTTTTATTTCATTACTGGTTTAACTTTTTTTACGTTAACATTGAATAAAAACGTAACTCCGGAGCCAATTTCAGTGTGGTGTATTAAATAAAAAAAATAAAGCCCACTCCCACATTAATACCTATGTCTCAGCCTTGCAGAGACTGACTCATTTTGTGAGGCTCTGCTGCTGCAACAGGCGCCGCCATGATCTCTTTGTTGGCCCTGTGCGGAAATTTTCAGTTTATCTTCAGCGGGCAGCCATGTATATTATCTGTTTAGCAAACATCAGACGCGTGTCCTCTTACCAACACAGACTCGCTTCGTCACTCCCGGGTCTACGGAGCTCCACTTTTATTCAGACCGACACGTAAGAGACCGCGTCAGGCTACACCTCCGCCGCGTCACCGAGAACAACAACACGGAGAGGAGGACGAGGCAGACGACGACAACGATGGGATCGACTGACGGAGTGGTCCGAAGGGCGGCGGAGGGAGCCGAAGTGTTCCGGAAATTACCGAGGGGAATGGGAGGGGAACGACGGAGATAGCCGAGGATGTTGCTTTTC